GCAGACCAATGGGTCGAGATGGCCGAGTGAAAAAGGAAAAGAATGGAAAACGAAGGTACGAAGTGAGGAATCGAAACGTAAATTGCGATGACGTGGACTCGTGGACCGTTCGTTCCTGCATTACGACCAATGACACGCCCGTACGTCGAATAGACGGTGTTAATTTCAGCGCGAACAAGAACAGTGAATCATTTCACCGCGGCGCCCTTATACCACGTCGTTTCCGTTTGATATTTTTATTCTTCCCTTACGTCAAAACGTCCGGATGGCGTCCGGGGGCTTATCAAGCGCGTAAAATTTCAATTCGAACTTTGACTCGGCCCGGGGGGGTTACGCTCGCACCGGTCTAGTTTGCCGTCGGACAGCCTCTGATTTACTGATCTATGCAAATCAGAGAAGTAATCCAATAATCTCGAGTGGCTCGAATTACTCTCCCGTTCCCATACGCGCGAGAGGCAAACTGACTTCATTTCGCCAACAGTCAATTATATAAATTGAGGTCCGAGGCGAGTTACTTTAATTAAGCGTTTAATTCTTCGTTAATCCCACGGAAAGCGCGCGTCACGTCTTGTAAGCCGTCGCAAAAGTTGGCGTTTCGACATTGCTGGACTCTCGCGGCGATTTAATACGGTTCGAGGTGGTCCCGATGAGGAGGAATATTGTACAACTCCGAGATACGAGTTGCATCTCGGAAGCGGAAACTTGCGATTTATAACTTAACGAAACGTCCGATTTGCCGTCGTACGGTCTAAGTATCTAAGCTCCTTAAGAGAAATGAAAACGAACAATTTAATTCAGTTGATTTAAATTTCAGCTTGAATTGAGATTTAGGTCATCCGATTAAGAACGTTCTTGTTACGCGTTATCAAAAGCAGCTACTTCTTGGAGAGATAAATTAATAAGGAAACTTAAATATAATATGAGAGAAAATTAGAATTCTAACGCGGTACGTCGCGCCACGACGGTGACGTCGGCAATATGTTTTTACGACAATTTACGATGCACTTATTGCGAGAGGGACAGGTAAAACCGCAAGTTGCTTCAAGTTTCAACTAGCCGTCTTATCACTGATCGATAGACTGTGTAAAGGAACCGGACAAAGGAAGTTGAAAGGAACCAAGTGATATTTTAGAGAGGGACTAACTTTTTGAGAATTATGTTTTATTTACCAAGTTTTCCATTTCTCCACTAGAAATTTCTTTTCGTCGGGGATAAATCGCACGTGAAAATTTCATTTGAAGCGTAACAAGACGAATTTCTTTGTATCCATCTGCAATGGAATTATAAAGCTTTTGATTAGCGGAAGATACCTTCGTATCTAAAAATGCGAGAATTGGGTATTTTACAAAAAAAAAAAAAAAAAATTGTTTCAGAATTACACGAAAATAGTTCTCGATAGGATATTTCTCGAAGATATTTTCCTTTGTGTGAATAAACTGAGAAAGTCATCTGGTCTCGCGACTCGCGTCCTATGAGGCGAGGACAATTCATTTTGCCGTCCGTCGTGTCTCGTTGACGGCGCCATCACATCGCCATACGTCCGGTGGCCCTACGGTGAAATTTTTGCGGCGGAAACTCATCGCGCACACCCGACGTCACGACGTGACCGTATATTATATTGTCGCGGAATTATTCAATTTTAATTTCGCATTACACACTGTGCTTGCGCGACCACGGGATCTCTCGCGCGCTTGACACACGTCTTTTCTCGTGGCAGGATTTACTGCCACCTACTGGTATACGTGCCATTGTTGTCAAAGTGGTACGGTACTTATTGCACACTTATTGTACGGAGATCATATAATACCGAATGGAATGCAACGTGTACGTGACAGAATAAACAAATCTTTTAATCGCGAATTGCGCTTTGCGATATTTAATTTAGATACGGGTGAGGTAAAACAGTGAGGCGTCTATAAAAACGCTTACAAAAAGTATACGTATTAGTCAATATTTAATAGTGTACTATTATTAGTATACTATTATACTATTATCCCAAGATTTATTGGAACTATTATTAGTTTATTAGTATACTATATTTTTAAGTATACTTGTATAAAAGTCAATTGGTATAATTATTTGTGTAATTATAATTGTTTGTATAATTACAATTTGTATAATTATAATTATGCAAATATCGATGTAGGTATATATTTATTAATTATATACGTAATAATTGATCCATTTCTAAAAAAGGCATGTTAAGTCGATACTCGAATATATCGAAATTATTGTTGTCAATTTTCCGTTGTGCCGATTAGTTTTCTCGTTGCACTCACTTCATGAGCGGCTGTTATTGCGAAGATCGTTTTCAATTGTGTTGTAATATTTATGATATATTATTAAAAAGTTTCTGAATATACATATGTACGTCATATGTAAGTCATATGTAAGTCATATATATATATATATATATATATATGACTTTCAAGTACTGATTTAGATATTTAATCCTGGTAAGATTTAGAAAGAGGAGACATAGATAAATAAAAAATACATAAGAAACGTATATTCTTATTACATAAATATAAGATGTGAGCATTTTTTGTAATCTTTGCTTCTATTTTTATTGATTAAAAAGATATATCAAGATTTGAATGAAAACTTAATGTTTTTGAAAACTAATATAAATTTTTACGCGGATTGTGCCATTTCTATTATCGTTAAATATTTATTTAAAAAAATCAAAAATTAAATCATGAATTTAATCAACTCCATATATTAATGTGCTTCCAACGAAAATTTAATAAATTCATTATTTTTAAATTATCTATATTATTTTATGTATTATATACATATAATATACATATTATATACATATCTAATTTTTTAAAACGTTTATTTTATTTTTATTTTCTTGCGAGAAATCAGGATTAAATATATATATTCCAAACTGTTTAAGTTTATTCCTTTTATAAGGAACGAATCTGGCAACGAATCTGTGAAGATCCAACTGCAATATTTTTATAAACATATAATAAATATATAATAAAATAAGACAAGTTTCACAGATTTGTAACTCCGTTAAAAAAATTGTGTCACTCACCGATCCGATGCGTAACAGCGGAGTGAATCTGCCACGTAGCTACGATGATTCTGTAACACAGAAACAGAACATTCGAATTATAACAGTGTTCTAAATGAGATATTTTACAAAATAATTTTACGTATATTGAATCTACATATTTATTTTTCAATTAAATATTCATTAAAATAATAAAATAATTTTCAATAAAAATCTTTATAGAAATAAAGGCGAATAATATTTTAAATTGTTTTTCTTTTTACGAAAAAAAAAACTATAAATTTTAAATTATCAAAATTTATTAATTAATCCAAAGAAATGTGAAACCGATTAATTTTATGTTGAGAAAGAAAATGTATATTTACCGCAAGGTTGCTCCGCCGGTGCTCGATGCCTCTCCTAGGCCTCCTCCTCCTCTCAAGATGTCGGATCGTCGGATGTCCTCGCAGCACAGGACACTCGCGAAAAACACTCGCAAATTATTATAATTGCGCGTGGACTAATTTTAAATAAAAGTCTTTTAGTCCGGCCACTTGTACGGCACTCCCGAAGCAGACGTGCGGCGCGACGAACTCGCTGCAGTTTGTTCATTCACTTAAAAATCGACGGCGAAAAAATGACGATAGATTAAAAAAACTGATCGATTAATTTGCCACATAAGAGCCATTGAACGACTCGTGGCTATGCCGTGTCAGTACGTTATTAATAACAATAATATTACTAATGTTAATATTAATATTGCTAATAATGGTGCAACGGGTACTGTTAGCTTCTTCGTCTTTGGGGAATCCGTTGGGGAATCCAAAGAAAAAATCCCTCGGAATATTGAGCCCCTCTGCCACGTCAAAGCACCGTACCCATTGGAGGGGTTATCATTTATAAAAATTCATGAATATCAAAGGAATAAATCGTGTTTAAATATGTAAATATACTTTGTTAGAGATTCGTTATTTCTATATTTCGATATGTTTACGAGTCGTTAATTACACGCGTTAAGAAGCCATTCCATTCATAAGATATAACACGATTTGGTATCATTTAGCATTGAAGAAATGCGAAGAAATACGGAACGATGCGTACCGCGACCTACCCCTACGAACACCGGTGAGACATTGATAATTGCGCGGAGCGCTCGTAAATTATTATATGTTTTGTTGTTGTAATTATTATACGTAAACACGTGACGTACCAGCCGCGGCACGTAAACTCTTAACTAAACAACAATAGTTTGGCTAGACGAAATTCAACACATATTTCAAATCAAATTTAATTTCCACGAAGCGTCATAGCATCTTTGATAATGAAAAACATTAAATAATATAATTGTTATATTTTACTTTTAAATGTCTATTATGTCATACAATTGCTCTTTCATTTAACGCATTAGAGTGCGTTTGCTTGGACGTTCGTGCGCATGAAAGGATTGTTTTATTTTTCTTTGACGTGAATGACGTAATAAAAATAAATGATGCTTATAGCGTATATGAAACGTCCAAAACGAACACATTCTTAATAAACTCGTTACAATTTATTTGAGATACATGCATGCATACACACATATATATATATATATATATATATATATATATATATATATATATATATATATATATATA